AGAAAATAGTGGTTTTTTGTTAGAAAGAGGCTTAGAGGAAAATCATAGCCTGTATAATTTAAATTATAACATTAAAATATTTTAAGACCGGGCTCAGTGGCTCAGCCTGTGTAAGACAGTTTTTTTTTTTTGAGTTGGAGTCTCACTCTGTCACCCAGGCTGGACTGCAGTGGCATGCTGTGTGCTCAGGCGATCCTTCTGCCTCAGCCTGCCAAGTAACTGGAACTATAGGCATGTACCACCGTGCTTGGCTAATTTTTTGATTTATTGTAGAGATGGGGTCTTGCCGAGTTGCCCAGGCTGGTCTCGAACCCCTGGGCTCAGACAATCCTCTTGCCTCTGCCTCCCAAAGTGCTGGGATTATAGGTATGAGCCACAATGCCTAGCCTTAAAACAGATTATAATCAACTTTTAGCAAAAATTGATGGCAGTTTCTTCATGGAAGTACTTCAGGTTTATTTTATTTAATTTGTTTTAATTAAATGATCTTGCTATAGTGCCCAGGCTGGACTCAAGTGATTCTCCTACCTTGGCCTCCAGAGTAGCTGGGACTACAGGCACATACCACCATGCCTGGCTCAGTTTTATTTTAATTAATTTTTTTGAGCACTGACTCTGTCACCCAGACAGAAATGCAGTGGTGGATTCCTGGCTCACTGCAGCCTTAACCTCCTTGGGATCCTCCTACCTCAACCTCTGAAGTAGCTGAGACTATAGACACATATCACGACTCTAGCTAATTTTTGTGGAGATGAGGTCTCACTGTGTTGCTTAAGCTGGTGTCTAACTCCAGGGCTCAAGCAATCCTCCCTTGGCCTCCCAAAGTTCTGGGATTGCAGGCGTGAGCCACTGTGCCTGGCTGGAGATTGTTATACTTCTAATGGTCTGGAGCAAAGAAGTTCTTGAATGGCAGCATTTTTTGTTGTTGTTTTTCTTCTCTTTTCTTTCTTTCTTTTTTTTTTCTAAATTGGAGTCTTTATCACTCAGACTGGAGTGATGCAGTGGCACGATCACAGCTCTGCAGCTTCGACCTCCTAGGTTCAGGCGATCCTTCCACCTCAGCCTCCCAAGTAGCTGGGACTACAGGCATGTGCCACCATGCCCAGTTAATATTTTAAAGTTTTTTGTAGAGATGGAGGTCCTACTGTGTTGTCCAGGCTGGTCTTGAACTCCTGGACTCAAGCAGTTCTCTCACCTCAGTCTCCCAAAGCCTTGAGATTGCAAGTATGAGCCACTGCTCCTAGCCTTTTTTTTTTTGCCCCCAATTATGGTAAAAAACAAAAAACAGGCTGGGCGCGGTAGCTCCCAGCACTTTGGGAGACCAAGGCCAGAGGATTGCCTGAGCCCGGGGGTTCAAGACCAGCCTAGACAACTTGGTGAGACCTCATCTCTACAATAAATCATAAGCCCAGCAGGTCGAGGCTGCGGTGGCCCTGAGCGTGTCACTGCACTCCAGCCTGGGCAACAAAAAGTGAGATTCCAACTAAAAAAAAAAAACAAAACATGGAACATAAAATTCATCATCTTAAACATTTAAAGTTTATAAATCAGTAGTGTTAAGTATATTCACATTGTTGTTAAACAGACCTCTAAAAAGTTTTCATCTTGTAAAACCAAAATTCTATTTTCTTAAATGACTCCCTCCCGCTAACCCCTGATAACCACCATGCTACTTTTCTGTCTCCTTGAATTTGGCCACTTTAGGGACTTCCTATAAATGCAGTGATAGTATTTGTCTTTTTGTAACTGGTTTGTTTCACTTAGCATAATATCATCTAGGTTTATCTGTTTTGTAGCATATGTCAGAATTTCTGCCTTTTTAAAGCTGAATAATATTCCATTACATGTATGTACCACATTTTGTGTTCATTCATTCATCAGTGTATACTTGGATTGCTTCTTCATCCTAGCTATTGTGAATAATGCTGTCATGAACATGGGTATGCAGATATCTCTTCAGGGACCCTGCTTTCAAGGCTGGGCACAGTGGCTCACACCTGTAATCCTAGCACTTTGAAATGCTTAGGCAGTTGGCTAATTTTCTGAGGACCTCTGCCATACAGTTTTTTATAACAACTGTACCAAACAGTGCTCAAAGGTTCCAGTTTCTTCACATCTTCACCAGCACTTGTTTTTTGCTTTTTGAAAAAGATATATTAGCCATTCTAATGGTATGAGGTGATCACGTCGTGGGTTTGATTTGTGTTTCTCCAATGACTAATGATGCTGAATATCTTTTTATGTGCTTGTTGACAGTTCTTGAATCATCTTTGGAAGAACATATATTCAAATCCTTTGCCAGTTTTTAAATCTGGTATTTGTTTCGTTTTTAAAAGACAGAATCTTGCTTTGTCACCCAGACTGGAGGGCAGTGGCATGATCATAGCTCACTGTAACCCTGAACTTCTGGGCTCAAGCAATCTTCCCGCCTCAGTCTCCTAAGTAGCTAGGGCAAGATTATAGGCATGTGCCATCCTGCCTAATTTTTTATTTTTTGTAGAGATGGGGTTTCGCTATATTGCCCAGGCTGGTGTCAAACTCCTGACCTTAAGTGATCCTCCTGCCTCATCCTCCACAAAGTTCTGGGATTACAGGCATGAGCCACTATCCCTGGCCTAATTTAGGTTATTTGATTTTTTTTTAAATTTTTGAGTTGGAAAAGGTCTTTATGTATTCTGGATATTATCTACTTATCAGATATATAGTTTTTAGATATTTTCTGCCATTCCTTTAGGTTGCTTTTCATTGTTGATTGTGTCCTTTGGTACACAGTTTTTATGTTTGATATAGTCCATTTGTCTATTTTTGCTTTCTTGCATTCAGCCTCAGCCTTCCAAGTTGCTGGAACTACAGGCATGCACCACCACACCTGGCTGATTTTTTTGTTTGTGCTTTTGGTGTCATAGCTAAGGAATCATTGCCAAATGCAGTGTCATGAAGATTTGCCCTTTGTTTTCTTTTGAAGTTTTATAGTTTTGGATCTTATTTTTAGGGCTTCTGTCCATTTTGAATTAATTTTTGTATATGGCATAAGATAAAGACCCCACTTGCTATTCTTTTGTGGATATCTGATTTCCCAAGAAATGTTGGCTGAAGAAGTTCCTTCCATCATTGAATGATCAGCATTTGTTATGCTGAAGGTTATTAGGAGTCCTTCCCTTTAAGCTCTGGCCTATTATAAGTCATTCTAAGTTAAAAACCAAGCATTAAGCAGCAGTTAATTTTCCTACTGCATGAGATGCAGTTCATGGAAACAAGAGTAATGGGCTTAGTTGCTGGGGCTCATGTCCTGTGCTGTGGGGGTAAAGAAGCTGTGGACTTGTACAGATAAAGGGAGCTGTCTCCACATGAGCCATTGTCATGATTTGGACCGTGGCCACATCCTGTTAAAGCCAGAATTACTTTGTAGGTTTTGTGTAGCTATACATAAGAAATTGTAAGAAAAAGTTGTTTTTATTGTGGATAATATTTAATATTTAGTCCTTTCTAGGGTTGCTACTAGGCCTTAAATTTTAGGTATATCATAGAGTGAGCTGGTAAACTTCAGAGTCATTTTGTGCAGTTATGACTGGAGAAGTAGAACACATGGTCATTACAGACCAGAAAACTGGTGGGGCAGTCCTGCTGTGTTACATGAACCGTCCAGGACATGGGAATTTCTCATTAGTGGTCTCTCTCAGGTAGCTTACCAGGGATAGCATTGGTCATCTTTTTGTCCTGGAGGACATCTGGAAAGCTATGAAGATTTTCCTCTTACATAATTCATGAACATATTTGAGCATTTCAAAACTCAGTGGAAGAAGTGGTGTTTTTTTTGTTTTTGTTTTGTTTTTTTTTTGAGTTGGAGTCTCACAGCCTGTCACCCAGACTGGAGTGCAGTGGTATGCTTACGGCCACCACAGCCTCGACCTGCTCAGCTCAGGTGATCCTTCAACCTCAGCCTTCCAAGTTGCTGAAACTACAGACATGTGCCACCACGTCTGGCTAATTTTTTTACTTATTGTAGAGATGAGGTCTCGCCAGTTTGCCCAGGCTGGTCTTGAACCCGCGGGTTCAGACAGTACTCTCACCTCGGCCTCCCAAAGTGCTGGGATTATCAGCATGACCCATCACACCTGGACAGAAAAGGTGTTTTTAATGATAAAAAGAACTCAGTTTTTGTATGAAATCTTTTGAGTTTGTTTTCTCAGAGTTTACAGGTTTTGCCATATCTTACAATTTGAACTTAGATATTTCATACATTTTGCAAAGTTGGCTACTTAGGGTTCTGTGTGCTTGGCATTAATGAAACACTGTTTGTGATGACAGTGTGCTGAGAGAAGTCCATCAGTGGCTGTTTTTTTTTGTTTTTTGTTTTTTTTTGTTTTTTGTTTTTTTTGAGTTGGAGTCTCACTCTGTCGCCCAGACTGGAGTGCAGTGGCCGCTCCCGGCCACCGCAGCCTCGACCTGCTGGGCTCCGGCCATCCTTCTGCCTCAGCCTTCCAAGTAGCCGGAACTACAGGTGTGCGCTACCACGCCTGGCTGATTTTTTGATTTATTGTAGAGATGAGGTCTCGCTGCCCAGGCGGGTCTCGAACCCGTGGGCTCAGTCAATCCACTCACCTCAGCCTCCCAAAGGCGTGGGATTACAGGCTGAGCCACCGACCCCGCCTCATCGGTGGCTATTTTTATTAGCCAGGCACTATTCTCATTTCCGATGGTAGTTGGAGTAAGAATTCCTTTATTTGCTTAAAAATGAGCCCTATTATCCCAGCTTCTTAGGAGACTGAGGCAGGAGGATCGCTTGAGCTCAGGAGTTTGAGGCTGTAGTGTACATCTGTGGTTGCACCTGTGAATAGCCACTGCATTCCAGCCTGGGTACATAGGAAGATCTCATCTCTTAAAAGAAAAGAAAGAAAAATAAATGCTGAGTGTTACATGTCTTAACTTTTTCTTTTCTTTTTTATTGAAAAATATACATATTAACTTTAAAAAATTGTTTTTTACAACTATCATTTCAGAATTTCTTGAAGGAGGAGTTGGCCATGTTGAAATGCTGTTTCGCTGCAACTATTTAGCTTTAGTTGGTGGTGGAAAAAAGCCGAAATACCCTCCCAACAAAGGTACAATAATATGCAACTAAGAACATGTCTTGTATATAGTAGTTGTTTTTAGAATGTGTTCATGTCTGTAGCTGCATGTGATCTTCCTGGTAGTCCTGTGAAGAATGAGGGACTAATCACCAGGAACGAAGCATCTGGAATTTGTGAAAAGGATCATGTGTTTCCAGCATCATAGAAAATGTACTTTTCAGTTAATGTTGGCACATGGAGAATAGAGAACCCACCATACCTGAGTTGGTGTCATGAATGTTAATTTATTTTAAAGCAAGGTATAAGGAATTTCTTTCTCAGAAGAAAGAAACATTAATTTTATAGCCACAGAGACCAAAAATCCCATTTGGCTCTGGGTTTAGAGGTAATTCTTTTAGATTTGCATGTATGCATATCTATATGTGTCCTGAAGGAGATTCTGTGTAAGAACTCTGGCCCTTTATTTTTATTTCTTTTTTTTTTTGAGTCTGAGTCACACTCTGTCATCTAGGTTGCAGTGCAGTGGCACCATCATGGCTCACCACAGTCTTGAACTCCTGGGCTCAGTCAATCCTTCCACCTCAGCCTCCCAAGTAGCTGGGGCTACAAGCATGCACTACCTTACCCAGCTAATTATTTTATTTTTGTAAAGATGAGGTCTTGCTATGTTGCCTAGACTGGTCTTGAACTTCTGGCTCAAGCAATTCTCCTGCCTTGTCCTCCCAAAGTGCTGGATTATAGACGTGAGCCACCACACCTAGCCAGCTGTGACCCTTTACAGTTAAGGGAAGAATAGAGAGCTTCACTAAACACAGCTATATCTTTCATGCCAACTTAAACCAGCTTTTGGATGAAGGAAGAGGGCTTGAGGAAAAAGAAGCTCAGGTGAGCCAGGAAGAACAACACAGAGAAGAGATGGAAAGTAGATTGGGAAACTGCATAGGGACAGATCTGCGAGGCCTTGAATATTAGACAAGGGTCGATCCGGGAGAGATGCCATCAGATCTATGTTTTAGGACAGTTCTAATCTAGATACAGTGAAGAGGCACCAGAGGTTGGAGGTAGAGAGGGGAAGCCATTGGTTCGTGGGAAGAGGTGGAAAGGCCAAGCAAGTGTACCAGAGACCAGTGCTGGATGGAGGAGTGTGACAACTGGGAAAGTGACCGCCAGTGGCTTTGGAGGACTGTCTGGTGGGAACTCAATGGCAGGGGTGGTGTGAGAGGAGGTGGGGAAGGGAAGGAGAGGAGTGAGGGAGGCCATAAAGAGTAAAAATGGGTTCCGCGTGCAAGAATGGAAGTGTAAAGATGAGCTAGGGTCTGGGCAAGACTGCAATTGGGACTAGCCTGGCCCTGTCCCATGAGCAAAGAAAGTAAATGTGTGTAGCCGGGCTCGGTGGCTCAGCCTGTAATCCCGCGCCTTTGGGAGGCTGAGGTGAGTGGATTGCCTGAGCCCGCGGGTTCGAGAACCGCCTGGGCAGCGAGACCTCATCTCTACAATAAATCAAAAAATCAGTTGGGCGTTGGTAGCACACGCCTGTAATTCCGGCTACTTGGAAGGCTGAGGTGGAAGGATCGCCGGAGCCCAGCAGGTCGAGGCTGCGGTGGCCGGGAGCAGCCACTGCACTCCAGTCTGGGCGACAGAGTGAGACTCCAACTCAAAAAAAAAAAAAAAGAAAGTAAATGTGTGGAAAGGCGGAGGATTCTAGATGACTTTCAGCGGCCCTGGGCTTGGGTTCACAGTTCTCATTGGAGTCCCTGATTTTGTGCAATAGTGAATACAGGAAATTGAATGCACACTCATGTGAGGTCTAGTCTGGGCACATTTGTTTTTGTTTTGGAATTTAAGCAGAGAAATAGGCCGGGTGCGGTGGCTCATGCCTATAATAATCTCAGCACTTAGGGAGGCCAAGGTGAGAGGATTGCCTGAGCCCACGGGTTCAAGACCAACCTGGACAACTTGGCGAGACCTCATCTCTACAATAAATAAAAAAATTAGCTGGGTATGGTGGCGTGCTCCTCTAGTTCCGCTACTTGGAAAGCTGAGGCAGCAGGTCAAGGCTACGGTGGCCATGAGTGTGCCACTGCACTCCAGCCTGGACAACAGAGTGAGACTTCAACTCAAAAAAATAAATAAATAAAAGCTGAGAAATGAAAAAGGAAGAGATTGTTGGCAGTGAAGTCATTAGAATACCAAGTTTACGATTTTAGAGCAGTTTTCAGGTTCACAAGTCCAGGGTTTGTCTGTGTTGGCTTTAAAGCAGAATGAAGAGCAGCTGCGAGCACCGCCCAGGAGCAGAGAGGCCTGTGGCTTGTAAGTCTTGGAGGACACAAACCAGAAATGACACTGGAGGCATTTCTACTCAGAGAGTGGGACAGATTTTGCAGTAAAATAAGTGTTATTAGCTTGGGCAACATACAAGACTCTATCTCTACCAGAATTAAAAATTAGCTGGGCATACGTGGTGGCACATGCCTGTAGTCCCAGCTACTCAGGAGACTGAAATGGGAGGATCGCTTGAATCCAGGAATTTGAGGCTGCAGTGAACTATGACTTCACCCACTGTATTCCACCATGGGCAACAGAGTGAGACCCTGTCTTAAGAAAAATTTAAAAGTAAAAAATAACTTTATCCTGGTTACTTGGAGAAGGACAGAAATCCTGCTGCTGAATTGGTCTTTGTCTTGCCATGAAGAATTTCTTTGACTATTAACAAGAAAAGGGAACTTATGGGTGTAATGCCAGGAGGCCTGGAGTGCTGCTTCTCTTAGCACTGTTGGAGGACCTCAGGTGCTACTAAGGGACAGTTTGTACTAAATAATCTCAGGTCTTATTATGTAAAAATTTAAGCTATCTAAAAAGTGAAAAGGTCATAGAAGTTTTACAGACTTAGAAGAAAGCTTTTTTTTTTTTTTTTTTTTGAGTTGGAGTCTCATTCTGTTGCCTAGGCTGGAGTGCATTAGCACACTCACAGCCACTGCAGCTTCGACCTGCTGGGCTCAGGAGATCCTTCCGCCTCAACCTTCCAAGTACCTGGAACTACAGGCATGTGCTTCCATGCCCAACTTAGAAAGCAATTTTTTACAGGTTTTTACATAATGAACTTTTTTTTGGAATCCAAAGGCATTTTTTTTTTTTATTAGCAACTTTGTGTTTTAGAGCAGTTTTAGGTTCACAGCAAAACTGAGTGGAGAGTACAGAGTTCACATGTAGTTGCTGTCCCCAGACTTGCACACCCTCTCCCACTAATGAGACCTGTCACCAGAGTTAACTGTTGTTTTAATCAGTGAACCTGCACTGACAAACATTATCGCTCAAAGTCCATAGTTTACATTAGAGTTCACTCTTGGTATTATACATTCTGTGAGTTTGACAAATGTATAATGACATGTGCTCACCATTGTAGTATCCTACAGAATAGCTTCCCTGCCCTAAAAATCATCTGTGCTCCACCTGTTCATTCCTTCCTCCCTCCAGCCCTAGCAACAGCTGATCTTTTTAGTCTCCATAGTTCTGGCATTTTCTAGAACATCATAGTAGGACTCATATAGTGTGCAACCTTTTTAAGAGTGGCTTCTTTTAGTTAGTAATATACAATTAAGGTTCTGCCAAGTCTTTTCATAGCATGATAAGTTCTTTTTTAGTACTGACTAATATTCCATTGTCTGGATGTAACATAGTTTATCCATTAATCTACTGAGGAACATCTTGTTTGCTTCCAAATTTTGGCAACTATGTTATTTTTTTGTTTTTTATTTTTTTGAGTTGGAGCCTCACTCTGTTGCCCAGGCTGGAGTGCAATGGCACACTCATGACTACCACACCTCTACCTGCTGGGCTCAGGCGATCCTTCTGTTTCAACCTTCCAAGTAGCTGGAACTATAGGCATGCGCCACCACACCCAGCTAATTTTTTGATTTATTGTAAAGACGAGGTCTTGCCATGTTATCCAGGCTGGTCTCAAACCCATGAGATTAGGCAGTCTTCTCGCCTCTGCCTCCTACAATGCTGGGATTATAAGCATAATAATCTGACTGGCAGTTATGAATAAAGCTGTCATAAACATCTGTGTGCAGGTTTATGAGTAGATGGAAGTTTTAGATTCATGTAGGTAAATATCAAGGAGCATGCAATTGCTGGCTTGTGTGGCAAGAGTAGGTCCTTTCCTTGTCTTGTTGCATGTTGATTGAAAAGCAATGGTGGCTGGGCATGGTGGTTCACGCCTGTAATCCCAGCACTTTGGGAGGCAGAGGCGAGAAAATTGCCTAAGTCCAGGGGTTCAAGACCAGCCGGGCCACTTGGCGAGACCTCATCTCTAAAACAGATAGATAGATAGATAGATAGCCAGGCATGGTGATGCACACCTGTGGTTCCAGCTACTTGGAAGGCTGAGGTGGAAGGATCACCTGACCCTAGCAGATGGAGGCTGCGGTGGCCATGAATGTGCCACTGCACTCCAGCCTGGGTGACAGGATGAGACTCCTACTCAAAAAAAGAAAGAAAGAAAAGAAAAGCATTGGTGAAGGGGACATCCTTGCCTTGCACTCGATCTTAGCCCAAAAACTTCAAGTTTCTCACCATTAAGTATGATTTTGGCTGTAAGGTTTTGGAGATGTTCTTTCCTCTGTTTCTAGCTTTCTGAGAGTTTTTCTCATTAATAGCTCTTGGATTTTGAGAAATGCTTTTTCTGTATCTGTTGATAAGGACCATATAATTTTTCTTCTTCTTCTTTTTTTTTTTTTTTTGAGTCAGGGTGTCATTCTGTCTCCCAAACCTGGAGTGCAGTGGTACGGTTATGGCTTACTGCAGCCTCAACTTTCTGGGCTCAGGTGATCCTTCTGCCTCAGTCTCCTGAGTTAACTGGAACTATAGGAACACAACACTATGCCCAGCTAATTTTTTTATTTTTTTGTAAAGATGAGGTCTCACTATGTTGCCTCAGGTGATCTCAAACTGGACTCAAGCAGTTCTCTTGCCTTGGCTTCCCAAAGTGCTGGGATTACAGACTTGAGCCATCATGCCTAGCTGATTTTTCTTCTTTTAGCCTGAAATGTCTTTGTGTGGATTTGGGTTAGGGTAGTGCTGACCTCATAGAATGAACTTGAGGAATACTCCGTGTTTACCTCTGAAAGAGATTGTAGAGAATTGGTATAATTTCTTTTTTAAATGTTTGGTTAGAATTTACCAGTGAACCCATCTGGGGCCTGATGCTTTCTGTTTGGGGAGGTCATTAATTATTGATTACATTTATTTAATAGATATAGTCCTATTCCGATTATTTATTGCTAAGGGCATTTTTTTTCTTTTTTGAGTTGAAGTTTTAACTGTGTTTCCCAGGCTGGAGTGCAGTGGCATGATCACGGCTCACTGCAGCCTTGACTTCCTGAACTCAAGTGATCCTTTTGCCTCATCCTCCTGAGTAGCTAGGACACATACATGTGCCACCATGCCTGACTAATTTTTTATTTTTTATAGAGACGAGGTATCGCTTTGTTGCTGAGGCTAGACTCAAACTCCTGGGTTCAAGCAGTCCTCCCTCCTCGGCCTCCCAAATTGCTGGGATCACAGGTGTGAGCCCCTATACCTGGCCTGTTAAGAGCAATTATTTAAAAAAAAGTTGGTCTGATTAGCATTTGTAGAATTAAAAATATTTTTTTCAATAATGTAAAAATTACTTCTTGAAATTTACTCTTAATATTTTAATTACAGATTAAGCTATAGGGTGTTCAAATTTGAAAGAATTTAGCATCTTTGGTTAGCGAAAAATAGGATAAAGCAAGACTGGAGGAGATGTAGCATTACAGTGAGACCGAGAGAGTTTTTTCCAGACTGTGGCACCTGATCAGGCAGACCAGAAAGGCCTTTTATTTTGTCTTGTTTAGGAAGGAGCTGAGAGGACAGAGGAAAGAAAATTGCAGAATTTAATGGTTACTTTTTCTTTTTTTTTGAGTCAGAGTCTCACTCTGTTGCCCAGGCTGGAGTGCAGTGGCATGTTCATGGCCACCACAGCCTCGACCTGCTGGGCTCAGGCGATCCTTTTGGCTCAGCCTTCCAAGTAGCTGGAACTACAGGTGCACGCCACATGCCTGGCTAATTTTTTGATTTATTGTAGGGATGAGGTCTTGCCAACTTGCCCTGGCTGGTCTCAAACCAATGGGCTCGGGCAATCCTCTTACCTCAGCCTCCCGAAGTGCTAGGATTATAAGTGTGAGCCACCGCACCCAGCCCAGTTTCAGTTTTTGACATCAGGAACTGTATTAAGAGACGCCTATAATCCCAGCACTTTGGGAGGCTGAGGGGAGAGAATTTCCTGAGCCCACAGGTTCCAGACCTGTCTGGGCAGCTTGGTGAGATCTCATCTCTACAATAAATCAAAAATTAACCAGGCATGGTGGCATGTGCCTGTAGTTCCAGCTACTTGGAAGGCTGAGGTGGAAGGATCACCTGAGCCCAGCAGATCAACTGCAGTGGCCATGAGTGTGCCGCTGCATTCCAGACTGGGTGTCAGAGTGAGATTCTGACTCAAAAAAAGAAAAAAAAAATTTTTTCAGTGTACTATGCAGCACCAGTGGTTCACACCACTTAGGTTAAGTTTTCTATCCTTTGCAATGGTGAAACAGTAGTTAACCCCAGGCCCAGAGTATCTCATCTGATCACATATGCAGTATTTTGTAAGCAAGAATTAGTACTTCATCACGCTGTGATATCTGAAATGGAGTTCACCTGAATTAAAAGCACCAGTACCTGGCATTGAAATAGCCTTGACACGCTTATCTGCAGAATTCTGTCCTGTTTGGGCCTGCTTGCATGAATTGCAGACTTTCTGCTTTAAGGTTGAGGAGCCACAGGAAGTTTAACGCTTTAAAAGTTCAAAATAGTAGCAGTGTTTTTTGTCTGGAAGATTACTGTTTTCAGAGGTAACTGCTCCACTTGCTAACATGTTAGTGTATTAGTATCCTTTAAGTTGAAATAGACTTCTAATAATTTTTTTTTTTTTGAGTTGGTGTCTCACATCTTACTCTGTTGCCCAGGCTGGAGTGCAGTGGCATGCTCATGACTACCGCAGCCTCAACCTGCTAGGCTCAGGTGATCTTTCAGCCTCAGCCTTCCAAGTTCTTGGAACTACAGTCGTGCACCACCATGCCCAGCTAATTTTTTGGTTTATTGTAAAGACGAGGTATCGCCAAGTTGCCCTGGCTGGTCTCGAACCTCTGGGCTCAGGCAATCCTCTCTAATCTCTGCCTCCCAAAGTGCTGAAATTACAGGCATGAGCCACCACACCTGGCCTTCCAATATTTGTTAAATGAAGAGATTTATCAAACAGATGACATTTTAATGGAATAAGGACAAAATCTGTTTCACTTTTGAATGGTTATAAACTATAACTTCTTGAATAGTAAATAAATTTGATGTTATTTAACAGTAAGTTTGGTAGTGTTTTTTGTTATTGTTTGTTTTGTTTTTGAGTCGGAGTTTCACCTCTGTCGCCCAGGCTGGAGTGCAGTGGCTTGCTCATGGCCACCACAGCCTCAACCTGCTGGGCTCAGGTGATCTTTCAGCCTCAGCCTTCCAAGTAGTTGAAGCTACAGGTGCATGCCACCACATCCGGCTAATTTTTTGATTTATTGTAGAGATGAGGTTTTGCAAGTTGCCCAGATGGGTCTTGAACCCGTGGGCTCAGGCAATCCTCTCACCTCTGCCTCCCACAGTGCTGAGATTATAGGCATGAGCCACTGCGCCTGGCCTGTTTTGTTTTTTAAATTTTAGGGATAGGATCTCTCTATGTTGTCCAGGCTAGACTCAGAACTCCTGGGTTCAAATAATCCTCCCGCTTCAGCCTCCTGATTAGCTGAGATAACAGGTACATGCCAGCAAAGTTGGGTAGTTGTATTGCTTGATTTGGAATTTAGGTCACTTAGGCCATTTTGGCAAAACTCACACCTGAATTAGGCCTCAAAGAAACACAGTAGTCACCATGTCAGGACCTTTAGGGGGAAAGCATTCCTTCTCATCTTTGCCCATGACCTGACTGTTGAGGAAAACTTACTTTCCTTCACCTTATGCCCTTCATAGATGGCTTTCCAAATAGAGAAGATAGAAAACATCTGGATTCTGTGCTGCCTGTGGTTCTTCAAAATTGCAGTGCTGGCTGGCATTTGCATTCTTAAAGCTTATCTGTAAATTAGGCCTTAGAACACAAAGTACTAATCATCCTAGTAGGATGCTACAGTGTTCCCAGGCAACCAAGACAGGAATGATTTCTGAATTTGAAGATCCAGAGCAACCTGGGAGAATGAGTGGAGTTAAGAACTCACTGGCAAGCCGGGCTTGGTGGCTCAGCCTGTAATCCCGCGCCTTTAGGAGGCTGAGGTGAGTGGATTGCCTGAGCCCGCGGGTTCAGACCCGCCTGGGCAGCGAGACCTCATCTCTACAATAAATCAAAAAATCAGCTGGGCGTGGTAGCACACGCCTGTAATTCGGCTACTTGGAAGGCTGAGGCGGAAGGATCACCGGAGCCCAGCAGGCGAGGCTGCGGTGGCCGGGAGCGGCCACTGCACTCCAGTCTGGGTGACAGAGTGAGACTCCAACTCAAAAAAAAGAACTCACTGGCCTTGGGTTTTTATCCACCTGATTTTACTTTAAAACTGTAACTTTGGTCGAGCACGGTGGCTCACACCTGTAATCACAGCACTTTGGGAGGCAGAGGCGGAAGAATTGTCTGAGTCCATAGGTTCAAGACCAGCCTGGGTAACTTGGTGAGCCCTCATCTCTACAATAAATCAAAAAATTAGCCAGGTGTGGTGGCACACACCTGTGGTTCTAGCTACTTGGAAAGTTGAAGCAGAAGGATCATCTGAGCCCAGCAGGTCGAGGCTGCAGTGGTCATGAGCATGCCAGTGCACTCCAGATAAGGCAACAGAGTGAGATTCCAACAAAAAAAAAGAGATATAAAAATTAAACTATAACCTGTCTTTTCTTGATATGGGTTCATCTCTAACACATTAATGCTAAGTAACTATGGTTAGTCTTACTTTTTGGCTTGGTCAAGTAAAACCAAGGACGGGGAGAGAGGTTTGCCTGAAGTAACTAGGCAAGGGTTGACTGAGAAGAGATGGGGGACATCTGCATATGCCTGTGTGTGTGTGTGTGTGTGTGTTGGTTACTGGAGTACCTGGTGAACTTGTGTACTGAGAGGAGCAGGGAAGCACCCAGCTACCAAGACAAGAGAAATTGGAGTGGGGAGGAAGGTTGAGGGCGGATCCCCAGCACAGGCCACCATGGGTTGCACCCCAAGGCCTCTCAGGTAGAGGCATTTGAGTATATCTAAAGCCTGGGTAGGAGTGGGACAGTAGGCCTCCATGGGAAGAACAACAGTCTCTGTGTCAAGGTAACATCTCTACATCCCAGCACCATAGCCTATTTATGATTGTGTTCACAAATTATTTCTGATATTTCAGTGATGATCTGGGATGACCTGAAAAAGAAGACTGTTATTGAAATAGAATTTTCTACAGAGGTCAAGGCAGTCAAATTGCGGCGAGATCGGTAGGTTTGGTGTCAGTAATTTTTTAAAGTGGAATTTCACTTTCTCTGAAGATGGCTGAAATACTTTTCTACTGAAGGAAGAAAAATGTTTAGAAAGCGATGTATTAAAATTTTGGCCCTGTTTTTTATGACTCCAAAGATAGAAGGATTTTTTTGTTGCTGCAAGAAAGGCAGTGGATTTTATTGGGTTTCAGGGCACCATTGAAGGTAAGTAGTGGGTGTGTATGAATTGTGCTCCTGTGACCAGGCAGTAGCTCTCACTCCCTCAGGAGCGCTGCCTCCATCCAACAGCTGCAGAGCGAGGGCATGAGTTTGGAGGCTTGAGTGGTCTTGCTGTTAGCCCAAGCTTTGCCAAATGTTGCCTGTCAATGTTTTAATTTGAAGGTAGAGTAGAATTGAGATGTCATTGAATTTTACCTCTTGAAAGTAGTAGGCTTCTGTTGGCCATTGTCCTGGTGGTGTTTAGGCAAGTGTGGAGACTTAGCCTAGTACACTGAGTCAGAGAGAGCAGCATTTTCATTCATATGGATTTTAACTTGATAAGATTGACATATCATCCTCTAAAATTTCTGTTTCTGTCAGCTGTAGGAAGGCAAAGGCTAAGGAAGTTGAATGTAAATAGAGGTTCTACCATATCCCCACATTCTTATGTAGGTTTGTCATTTGTAGTAATACCAATATTTAAAGGCCCTTAATGCAAATGTGTGAGCCAGATTGAAGATTTCCTACTTTCAGACTTTTAAAATGTATCCAGACACCTGAAAATCTAGCATAAAATTATAACTTCTGCCCTGTATGTTTTTCTGGGTTCTGAATTTAGATGAAATGTTTTGTAGTGTATTCCTGAGCCTCAAACAGGTCTCAGTCAGAGGTACACATGCAGCAGTGCTGGCTCATGTGTGATCACATTTGGACAGCACACTGATGAGCTGTGGTTGAGGAAAGATCCTCATCATCAGTGATACAGTATTTCTGGGTTTCAATATAATAAAAACAAGGGTCTCAAATTGTTTGGGTTTGATTTTTGAGGAAACAAACTCTGATCTTGTTTTTCTTTCCAGAATTGTGGTGGTCTTGGACTCCATGATTAAGGTGTTCACATTCACACACAATCCCCATCAGCTACACGTCTTTGAAACCTGCTATAACCCTAAAGGTGAGAGATTCAGAACACTAGTGATGACAGGAAATGGGTCCACATGGGGTTGCAGGCCTGTCCTGGGGGCTTCTCTTCTGCTTGGGTCTCTGTCTGAGCTGGGTGCTGTGGTGAGAGCAGTCCTGAACATGTGGGACGCTTTCTAACCCTTTCCCTGGGCCTTCTCCATTCCCCAGAGTGCAGTGTCCAAGGTTCATGGCTCTGAAACTGCCTCCTGACCAGAGTCATTATGGGGACTCTGACACAACAGAAACCCGCCCCCCTGCTTCTGCCCCTCAACTCCCATTCAGGAGCTTGTGATGGTCCAGAAACCCATGTTTTCATTAGGTTCTCACCGCATCAGGAGCCACTGAATTCTGGTCTCAAGCATTTCCTTTCCTTTTTTTCTGGATTGGAAGATTGCTTTTGCCCAGCTTTGTTATTCATTGTATCTTCAATATCTTTTTTAATTTGGGGATTTCCCCTAGTTTTATTAGGGGTATAATTTACCTAAGACATTCATTTTAAGAATATCATTTGATACCTGGGCATGGTGGCTCACACCTGTACTCTCAGCACCCTGGGAGACAAAGGCAAGAAGATTGCCTGAGCCCAAGAGTTTGAGACCAGCTTGTGCAACTTGGCAAGACCTCGTCTCTGCAATAAATCAAAAAATTAGCTGGGTGTAGTGCCAGCTACTTGGAAGGCTGAGGCAGAAGGACCGCTTGAACTGTAACTTCTGGAACTTTAAAATAAATCTTGGAATTAAGTAACAGGTCTTCCAAGCTAGTTCTTATTTTACAAAAAAAAAATGTTTGACTATTCTAGAACCTTTTTATTTTCCCCAGTAGTACTTAGTATCAGTCTGTCTATTTCTCAAAAAAAAAAAAAAGCCTGAGCTTTTAATTGTTATGTACTGACTTTTATTAGATGGATTAGAGACATATGTAACTATTAAATCTTCCAGTCCATGATCATATAATAGCTCTCCATCTGTCAGATCTTCTCTGCTTTTCCTTTGTGATGTATTGTAATCTCATGCATAGGTCTTGCATATCTGTTGTTAATTTCAGAGTGTTTGGGTATTTTATGCTATTGTTAATGGAGTTTTTAAATTTTATGATCTTGCACTGTATTTTCAGTAGCCAGTGCCATCAAAGACAATTGATAAAATTGTTCAGCAAATGTTTTTTGTTATGAAGCGGTCTCACGAGAGGCAGTTTTGCTTGGCCCTCTGATACTCTTTACAGTGAAAAATCTTTAAATTGATTTTGTGATGGATATAAATGAAAACCCACAAATAATATTACTACAGTTTGTCCTGAGAACTTGAGAGCAGAGTAGGTTTTGGTTGTGGGAAACCAGAAGCAGTTCCTGACAGACATCTTCTATCTCCATGTAGGCCTCTGTGTCCTCTGTCCCAATAGTAACAATTCCCTCCTGGCCTTCCCGGGCACACACACGGGCCACGTGCAGCTCGTGGACCTGGCCAGCACAGAGAAGCCACCTGTGGACATCCCCGCACATGAGGGTGTCCTCAGCTGCATTGCACTCAACCTGCAGGGAACAAGAATTGCAACTGCATCTGAAAAAGTAAGTGCACTCTGCTCACCTTGTTGATGCACCTCCTGGAGCTGTAGGCTCTGCACAAAACCTGGCCACTCTCAGTTCTGAGACCCAAGGGTGGCAAGTGGCCCTGGAATGGAGCCCCTCAGGGGCCCATGGACCTGGCTGGTCACTTGAGGGTTTGAAGTCAGGTCTTCACAGGTTATGCCAAAGAACTGCTTTTATTTCCAATTCTGCACAAATCAGTGTGTTATAAATAAATTACTTAAAAAAACAAAACCAAGCAGAGTGGCTCATGCTGATAATCACAGCACTTTGTGAGGTTGAGGCAGGATGATTGCTTGTGCCCAGGAGCTTGCACCAGCCTAAGAAACTTAGTGAGACCTTGTCTCTACAAAAAAAATTTAAAAATTAGCCTGGCGTGGTGGCATGTGGGCAGCTACTCAGGAGGCTGTGGCAAGAGGATTGGGTGAATAGCGATCATGCTTCTGTACTCCAGCATGGGTGACAGAGTGAGTCCCTTTTGTCAAAAAAAACCAAAAAACACATGCTGCATGCTCCAGTTTATCATTAAAATCTGCAGATAGCAAATCTCTGTAGTATTGCCATAAACATTGCAGAATGACTCCATTTCTGTACTTATGTCTTTATAGCCTGGTAGCAAACAACTCAACACCCTTTTTCTTATCTGCCTGGGTATATTTCCTTGTCAAATTACCACCATTGTCAGGTGTGGTGATTCACGCCTGTAATCCCAGCACTTTGGGAGTCCGAGATGGGAGAACCAGGAGTTCAGTATCAGCCTGCAACAGAGTGAGACCTCATGTCTACAAAAAAAAGTTAGAAAAATTAGCCGGGTGTGGTGGTGAGCACCTATAGTCCCAGCTACTGTAAGTTAGGGTTAAGGGTTGGGGGTTGAGGTTAGGGTTAGGGTTAGGGTTACCTGAGCCCAGGATGTTGAGACCGCAGTAAGCTTTGATCATGTACTGCGCTCCAGCCTGGGCAACAGAGTGAGACCCCAACTCAAAAAAAGAACCACCTTAGTGTAACTTGAAATATTGGACATATTAGTTTGCCTTATGTGAAAAACTTCAGATTGTGAGCCAGTATGACAGGACAGACTTCACACTGCCCGTTTACACAGTGCCCATGTGGCTACTGGTGAAGTGAGCAGCAGTCCCCTGGGTCACTTTTCAGTGCCTGTGGGGTCAGCACCATGGAGGAGTGTGTCCTGCTTCTTCCTGGGACTTGGCTAAGAAGAAGCTTAGCTGATCCTTTTTTTTTTTTTAAATTGAAATCTCACTTTGTTGCCCAGGCTGGAGTGCCATGGCACTCAGGGCCACCCCAGTGTCAATATGCTGGGCTTTAGCAATCTTTCCACCTCAACCTTCTGAGTAACCAGAACTACAGATGTGCACTATCATGCCCAGCTAATTTTTTATTTATTGTAGAATTGAGGCCTTGCCAAGTTGCCTGGGCTGGTCTCGAACCCGCAGGCTCAAGCAGTCCACTCACCTTGGCCTCCCAAAGTACTGAGATTACAGACTGAGCCACTGAGCCTGGCTTTTTTTTTTTTTTTTTACCAAAACAGAATCTCAGTTCTGAATGTGGACTGTATATGTACTTCTCCACTTCTTGCTTTTCTTAACTCACAGTACCCTCCAAATTCATGGGTGTAAATTGCAGTGTCTGTGATGTTCCACCGCTGTTCAGCAGTCACCTTGGGAGGAAGGTTCCTTTCCCCAGAGTGGGCTGCTGGCTTGAAGGATAGAAGAGTTTTTTGTTTTAATGCATGTTGGCAAATAGCTTTCTACAAAAGATATAACAATTCGGCTCTCAGGATTAGCTAAGGAATCTTCTTCATTTTGAGGGAAAGGTTAAAAGGAGATCTGAGTCCTTCCCTGAGGTCTTGTGTACCTTCTCTCTCTTGGGAAGGTCAGCATAGTTGACACAGGCGATCTAAAGTCATTTCATTTTCTTGTGCCTTACCCTTTTGGCAGCTGGATTATAGTGGTGTTTCTTCTAACTGCCTGTGGAAGTTACAATTCAAATAACATTTCTCTAGACAAGGAACTTGTCTGGCAGGAATGGGGAACCAGCCTAGGCCTGGTTGTTTCTCTTGGATGTTACCCAGGAGAGCAGATGCCCATAATGTCAGTGGAGGCCACCCTGCCAGGAGATTGTGTCCTGAATCCTCTCTGGACCCTGCCCAGTGCTATGGGACCAGGAGTTACCAGCCCGTTCTCAAGGGTGCAGCTCTGAGTCTGTAGATGGAGGGAAAAGTTGAGTATTAGATGATGTGGGTCAGTTTTGGAAAGGGTTGTGTGGGTGAACACATTTGTTAATATACATCATTTCAAAAAACTAAAAAGTTTTTAATCTTTGATAATGAAACACTTCACTGTTTTTCAAAGGGGACCCTTATAAGAATATTTGATACTTCATCAGGGCATTTAATCCAGGAATTACGAAGAGGATCTCAAGCAGCGAATATTTACTGGTAAGGACAGACTTAATTTCACTCTAAAATGGCACGGAAATGGGCCTGGGATGGGGTGGGGGAAGCAGGGAGTCAGGAGCAGCCATCCCTCTACCCCATGAGGCTGGGAAGGGATACTGCTGAGCTTGTTAGGAGGTCAGGTTTCAGCTCTTTTTTATTATGACTAATTTTAATTTTTTATTGAGATATACACAAAAGTAATAGTAGTCGTAGTATAATTAACTACCATTAACCCATCACCCTGCTTCAGCATTTGTCAGTATTTGCCAGTTTCCTCTCACCTTCACCAGCACTCCAGCTTGTCTTGTATGGTGTTTTAAAGCAGCACTAGAAGCTGTGTTCGTTTGTGATTCCTCCTGCTTATTACAGGTTGAGACCATGCTGCCACATCCATCGTGGTGCCCCATACCCATGTCTGGTGCTCCCTGCTTGCACTGGGAGACCAGAGGCCACCCTCTTTACTAGCTGCGGCCTTTGCAGCTGTTGAGCGGCATATGTGTCTATGGGATGAAAATGTAATTACTGAGCCAGGCTTGGTGGCTCACGTCTATAATTCCAGCACTTTGGGAGGTGGAGGCAAGAGGATCGCCTGAGCCCAGGGGTTTGAGACCAGCCTGGGCCACTGACTGAGACCTTATCTCTACAATAAAATAAAAAAATTAGCCAGACTCCAGCTAATGAGGCTCCAACTCCTTGGAAGGCTGGGGCAGAAGGATCACCTGAGCCCAGCAGGTCAAGGCTGTAGTGGCCATGAGCATGCCACTATACTCCTGCCTGGGCAGCAAAGTGAGACTCCAACTCAAAAAGAAAAATAAAAATAAAATGTAATTACTATGTACATTTAGTGGATTTACCTGTGAAGTCTTGGGCCTTGCAGTATGCAAAACACTCGCCTGTCTGCCTGTTCCCAGGATGAAAATGGCAGGTGGCCAGTGCCTGACCTAGCCCATATGACCTCCAGAGGGGCAGTATTCCCTTCTTGGAGTCAGGGTTACTGAAGAGGATGATCTCTCGCCTGTCTTCTGACAGCAGCCCTGAGTGGCATGTGGGGAGTGGTCTGCAGGAAGCCCCTTTCTCTTCACACACAACTCGTTGGCTCCGTCTGGGGGCACTCAGGACAAGAGTCTTGTCACAGCACACAGGATCATGCCTGTGGCTTTATAGCTTTGAACCCCTGGCTCTGTTGTGACAGCTGTCAGCTTGTTAAAGAAAGGGTGCTTTCTAAAATTGGTTCTTCAGATATGGGAAGGTTGAGGTCTTACAGGGTGTGAACAAGCGCAGTTTGTTGGGAATGTTGAGGTCTTCCAAGGAGTGAACAAGCATAGTCTCTGGGCTCTCCACATCTGCACAAAGACTGAGCTTCATCTGGTTTTCTCTGCAGCATTAACTTCAATCAGGATGCTTCCCTCATCTGTGTGTCTAGTGACCATGGCACAGTGCACATTTTTGCAGCCGAAGATCCAAAAAGGAATAAACAGTCCAGGTAGGTTCTAGGAAGTCTGGTGGTAAGGAAAAGCCCAAAGCAGAAGGATTCACCATTGCTTCATTGTTGAGAAACTGACTGTTAAGCCAGGATTGAAATCTTTGTCATCTAGTTTGATTTGGGGGAAAGGGGTTGGGTAATCTGTGCAGATTGACACTAAAACAGTGGCATTATTATTTCTCCTATTGTTAATTCCTTAGACAGTGTTGGGTGAGAAGATCCAGGCACGTTTGAAATGATTTAGAACTTAGTCCTGAACTCGGATTTCTGTGTTTACTGTGTTCAGAAGATTAATGGCAGGAGAAATTTATACCCCTTTTAGTGTTGATGGAGTCTGGTAATAAAATCAAAACTAAGGACTCAGCTTTTTCATATGAGAAAGATTAAAAGTAAAAAAAGAATTTCTTTAAAATCATTAAAGCTAAAACAATTTTTTTTTTTTGAGTTAAGAGTTTCACTCTGTCACCCAGGCTGTAGTAAGTGGCACACTCACAGCCACCACAGCCACAGCCTGCTGGGCTCATGCAATTCTTCTGCCTTAGCCTTCCAAGTAGCTGCAACTACAGGTGTGTACCACCTCTACAATAAATTTTCTTGATTTATTGTAGAGACAAGGTCTCACCAAATTGCCCAGGCTGGTCTCGAACCCCTGGGGTCAAGCAATCCTCTCACCTCCACTTCCCCAAGTGCTAGGATTACAGACTTGAGCTATCTTGCCCAGCCTCAAACAATTATATTAAGGAGAGCATTTTAATATTTTTAGCAGCATTCTGGGTTTAAACAGGTGACTTCTCCATGTTTTTCAAACTTTGTTTTGTGACTGCAAGTGCTTCTTTTCTTTCTTGTCCTCACAGTTTGGCATCAGCCAGTTTCCTTCCAAAATACTTCAGTTCCAAATGGAGTTTCTCCAAGTTTCAGGTTCCCTCGGGCTCTCCATGCATTTGTGCCTTTGGAACAGAGCCAAATGCTGTCATTGGTGAGTGGTCCTACCTGGAGAGCATGGTCCCCTCCCCCATCCTGGGGTTCATCTACCAAGCTTCAGGTCTGACTTCCCATAGACCCCCGCCCCAAGTATTGTCAAGACTGCTGTGTTGCCCTGGGGACTCAGTGCGTTGAGCTCACAGTGGGCACAGCCATTCGGGATGTCATCAGCCCCCACCCCTCCAGGGATTCCCTGGGAAATCATGGACAGATTATTTGTTTTTTGTACAGAAGACCAAAGAATATTTTTCCTGTGGCCAACACTAGTTGATCAGATGCATACACCAGGGCTCCCACTCAGCAAGGGTGAGGGACCTCTCAGGTAGCACTTGGAAGAGTTGCTCGACTTCGAGAGGCTGTTTGTAGCTCAGCTGAGTTTGCTTTTACCTTTTGAGGAAGAAATGTGAGTAAAATTATCTCCTTCTGTCCCAGCAATCTGTGCAGATGGCAGTTACTACAAATTCCTGTTCAACCCCAAGGGGGAGTGCATCCGAGACGTCTATGCGCAGTTTCTAGAAATGACCGATGACAAGCTGTGACTCCTTGCCAGTGAGTGCGACTGCAGACATGCCCGTCGCCCCTCAGGCTACTGGGGCTGGTGCCAGTGCCCCATAGGCCGCCTGGGTCACAGGCTGGAAGGACTGCCGGGGACCGTGTTCTCAAAGCCATACATGGTTGTCTGCTTTCCTAAGAAGGACTTTCCATTTCCAGTATTAAAGAATCATCATCAAAGCATCGTAGATACTCCGTGGCTCTGAGCAGCTCCTGCCACCCGCTGGCTGTCACCTCTAGTTCAGCTGTGATGTGTGCTTCAGGGACCCCACCGTATCCTCACTCTGAGGGGCTCCACAGACCTGGACTGGTTTGAGAGGATGGACAGATTGAGGTTTGTTTTTGCAATAGATTCCATGGTGTTTCCCGAGTCTACAGTGGGGAAATGAATAAGCGTGTAGATGTTAGTTCTGACATGATAAGCATATTAAAATCAAACACCAGCAGCTTGCCTTAGAAAGGAGAAAGGAGTTCCTTCTCCCATCTGAACGTGAAGAAAAACGATGTAACCCTATTAGGAGAACAGTGTGGATGTTTCCCCTCGTGTGAGCCCAGCCTCGTCAGTGCCCATCATGTGGTTCTCTCTGCCTGCTCATGGGCGTCCCTGTCTCTGTGGAGCCATTAGAACAAGGCAAGCACCAGGCCTACCCAGCAAGCAGAGCTATCATCCTCATGCTTGGGTGTCGGACAGCCGGGTCTCCTGGTTAAATTCTGGGTTAAAACTGAGTTTCCTTGTTATGTGTTAGGAGCAAGGTAATGCGTAGACTTTACAAATTAGTCATAGGAGAAAGAAAGCATCACTTGCTTGAGGGGACATCTCCACAGGGCAGTGCCTGAGGGCGTCCTCTGGCAACTCTGATGGTTGAAGAGAGCGCCCCAGTTGGCCTGTCATTTACCTCCCTCTCACCACCCTTCCCGACATTCATAAGGATAGCCACAAACTAACATTTGGGAAAGAAAGGCACATAACTTTTTTTAACATTTGGTAACTAAAGTAGGTTATGGGCTCTACGTTGTCAACTACTTTGAGGTATATATTTAATTTTCTTAAATTCCCTTTAAAAACTCTTTGTTTTATGGTTTTGATTTCAGGTTGCATACATTTAAAATCTGCATAGCAGCAAGTTCTCAGTTTTGCCAGTTCCTTTACTGTCATATAATCAACTAACTTTGTATGTGGATTTTGATGTAAAGTATGCATGTTACTTTTATGTGTATTTAATCATGAAGTTTAATTTTGCACACTTATTTGTAATGTTTCTTTTAAATAAAAGTGACTAATTTTGTTGTACTCTGTACCTATAAAAAGAAGTAGAATCGTGCATTACAGAACTAAATGTTCTTCCCCTTGTTTGGTGAATCTGGTTGAGCTGTAGCTTCAGAACAGCCTGTGCACGCGAGACAGGAAGGAGTTCTGTGAAGGTGGAAACCAAGGCTGCAGGATACCGAGCCCAGAACTCCATGCCCTTGCCTCACTGCTGTCTAGGTGGCAGCTTGGCCAGGGAAGGTGTGTGCTCCTTCGTAGACAGCCTCAGTGCTTCTGGAGAAAGGGAGAAGGAAATACATCTGTGGGAGCCAAGCATAGCTCTAGGAGGGTTTGTGGCTCGGTGGAGAGTGACCCTGACTAGCAAGCACCATGCATCTTTATCCCCTGTGGCCAGCCTTTGGGGAGTTGCGTCAGCATTAACAACTGCCTGGGTGGTGTGGACTGTTCCATCTTTCCTAGCTGCTGTCACCTTCATGTATCTAATACTTTAGATCTGACTTTTTAGGTGCAGTGTAGGATCCTTCACATTTATATAATTACCAGCTCATAGACATGACACTAGGAAGAAAATGCATGCAAATGGGTTTTCTTGCAGTGCATGTAAACAGCTTCAGAACTGGTGAGGACGGCAGAGACCCTCTAGACATGTAGAGTGTGTGGTGACAGCCCATGCCCTCAACAATGGGGTGTTCCAGCACCTCTTGTTGACATCAGGACACGACGACTTATAAAACGAGATGCAGATATCATGAGTACTCTGTGAGAGTTGCTGCAGCTGCATTACAGGGCCAGCTGCGTCTTACCTGGTGGCAGCCGTCCTGTTGGCTTCACAGCATTAGCACCTGTAATGTCACAGCTCCTGTTCTCTTCGCAAGGGCCTCTGGTTTGGCCTTGAGGGGTCTCCTCCAGGGCTCTACTTAGGGACAGTGAATGCATACCTTGTCTCCTGTCAAAAGTGCCCTGAAGGAGGCCTGTGGACAATACGTGGAGAGCCTAGAAGGATGTGCCCAAGCAATGAGACCCTTGGACACCATCTGCTTCCCCAGGCATGCGCTTTTTTTTAACCACCCTAGAGAGTATCAGGTAGGATGCACTGTTCCTCGCACCAGAGGACTGTCAGGATGGAACTTTGAGTTTCATCGCTTTTTCAACAGAGCTGCTTATGAGGCTTCCTGCAGAGGAGACGAGGCCCGGCTGCTGCTTCCTCCTCAAACCTGTGCTGGGCCCTGTTTGTGGTGTCTAAGGGATGCAGACATAATGGTCCCCCAGGGGATTCCAGAAACCCCTGCCTAGTTCACTTTTCCAGTCATTGCCTTGGCTGGTACCCGCTTGCCAGGTTTCCTGTCCAACTTTCCAGGCATGTGGTCTTGAAGACCAGCAGCATTGCTCACCTCCCATTCCTCACCCCAAACCATCCGGGCATGTCTGTGAGGACAGTTGGCTCATGGCCTGCAACCTCCCTGTTCTCCAGCCTTGTGCATGTTGCATCCCTCAGTTTGAAACCCTCAGCTTGCCACAGCCTGGGGTACGCAGCCACCATCCGTGCCCGTCCTGCATCTGGTGTTGATGGCGTGTGAACCTGGGCCGTGCCCTTTCCTCTTACTGTGCAGCCTTGTGTGACCAAAAGTTTTACATTTGTATTTTCTTCCTGCAACCAAACCAGGCTTCTAGATGCCAGAGATTAGTTCCCATGACTTAGCCCTCATTTCCTTTCACTTCTTTATGTCACAGGCATTTGCTTGATTGTGGAATTTTTGGAACTTGTGCCAGAAATTTTCCAAATGAATTGAAAATTTATGATAAAAAAATGCTCCTTATAAAATAAAAATGAACATACCAAAAAAAGAGCTGTAAACAAAGTTGTCCTGTCTCCACCTCCAGAGAAGACCATTTTTAGAGGGCCCCATGCCTAGTGTAAAATTTGTGATTTTAAACAGCACTTAAGTACTTTTTTTTTTTTTTTTTTGGTTGGAGTCTCACTCTGTCACCCAGACTGGAGTGCAGTGGCCACTCCCAGCCACCGCAGCCTCGACCTGCTGGGCTCCGGCGATCCTTCCGCCTCAGCCTTCCAATAGCTGGAACTACAGGCGCGCACTACCACACTCGGCTAATTTTTGCTTTATTGTAGAGATGAGGTCTCGCCAAGTTGCCCAGGCAGGTCTCAAACCCGTGGGCTCAGGCAATCCACTTACCTCAGCCTCCCAAAGGCGCAGGATTACAGGCTGAGCCACCGAGCCCAGCCTGTTTTTAACTTTTTAAAGCTCTCATACATGTTAGGACATACTTTAATTGCCCGAGCATGCTTATTTGTAATTTTTTTGTTACTGCAAATAATTTAGAAACAGAAATCCTGTGCACACACAGATACGATTATTTCTTTTTTTTTTCTTTGAGTTGGAGTCTCACTCTGTCACCCAGACTGGAGGGCCGTGGCACGCCTCTCGGCCACCATAGCCTCAACCTGCTGGGCTCCAGCGATCCTTCTGCCTCAGCCTTCCAAGTAGCCGGAACTACAGGCATGCACTACCACGCCCAGCTAAGTTTTGATTTACTGTAGAGACGTCTCCCCAAATTCCCCAGGTCTCCAACCCGTGGGTTCAGACAATCCACTCGCCTTGGCCTCCCAAAGTGCTGGGATTGCAGGCTAAGCCACGAACCCAGCCAGATCCAATTATTTCTTTGGGACAACAGAGCTCATTGCTAAGTCAGTTTTCATGTTTGATATACATTTGCCTCCTCTTCCTGGCAAGATTCTATCTATGTAAACACTCCACAACACTTCGCTCACACCTGGGCAAAGCTCTGAGCAAAAACTCTGAACACAATCTTTTTAATCTTTGATGGAGGAAAACAATCGATGTCTAGTCAGGTTGAACATTTTGGAGTACGCTTACCACATGTACTTTTTTTTTCTTTTTTTGAGTTGGAGTCTCACTCTGTTGCCCAGACTGGAGTGCAGTGGCACACTCCAAGTCACCGCAGCCTCAACCTGCTGGGCTCCAGCAATCCTTCTGCCTCAGCCTTCCAAGTAGCTGGAACTACAGGTGCACACTACCACGCCCGGCTAATTTTTGATTTATTGTCGAGACGAGGTCTCGCCAAGTCGCCTGGGCTGGTCTCAAACCCGCAGGCTCAGGAAATCCACTCGCCTCGGCCTCCCAAAGTGCTGAGATTACAGGCTGAGCCACATACCTGTTTTTCAAGTTGCTTATTCCTGTCTAGGATTATTTTTCTCTTGAGGTATTTGGTCTTTTTTCATTTGTAAGAACTTAGGATAACTCATTTTTTCTGCTTTGTGTTAAACAGATTTGGGGGATTCTACTTAGCTGTACACATATTTTTTAATTTATTTGTCTATATTTTTTTGAGTCGGAGTCTGTTGCCCAGGCTGGAGTTCAGTGGCATGCTCATGGCCACCGCAGCCTTGACCTTCTGGACTCAGGCAATCCTTCTGCCTCAGCCTTCCAAGTTGCTGAAACGACAGGTATGGCCACCACACCTGGCTAATTTTTAAAAAAATCTATTGTAGAGCTCTTACCAAGTTGCCCAGGCTGGTCTCCAACCCCTGGGCTCAAGCAATCCTCTCACCCTGGCCTTTCAAAGTGCTGGGATTACAGGCATAAGCCACTGCACCCAGCCTGTTTCTTTTTTTTGTTGGAATCTCACTCTGTTGCCCAGACTGGAATGTAGTGGCACATTCACAGTAACCGCGGCCTCAACCTGCTGGGCTCAGGTGATCCTGCTTCAATCTTTCAAGTAGCTGGAACTACAGGTGCACACCACCATGCCTGGCTATTTTCTTTTTTTTCTTATTTATTGTAGAGATGAGATCTCACCAAGTTTCCCAGGCTGGTCTCAAACCCTTGGGCTCAGGCAATCCTCTCACCTCGGCCTCCCAAAGTTCTGGGACAACAGGCATGAGCCACCACGCCTGGCTTGATTTAAAAAAAAAAATTTTTTTTTTTTAATTCTTACATAATTAAATGAACCTTTTTTCTTTATGTTTCTGGTACTGATTCGTGATTGGACAGCAGCTTCTTTGAGTATTATGAGTTTTGTTTCCACAATTCAGTCTGTAACTAATATTAATTTCAAAGCATGTAATTATGATGCTCTTATGTTCTTCCTGCACAAAATGGTTATGCACTGCTCAAACACAGGGCGACCCTAATCTTGATTTGCCTCTTAACTGTTCCTGGTTTATGCCATCCTTCTGGTGTCTCATTCAGTTTAGCATGTTAGACTCTCAAAAGTGTTCTGGTTTGGATGACAAATTGTGCAGCTGCCCTTTTTTATTGCTACTTATTAACTGGTTGTTTACCCATTGACTTAAAATTCTTTATGAAAAACTAAATTCTAGCATGTGGTTCTGCTGATTTTCAGCATTCTTAAGTATTTTTTCTTGTAGATGAACTTTAATCTGGAATAATAACTAAAAACAAAAAATTTGAAATTTCAAAAATGTAAAAATGATTGATTCTCAAGTGCTGAGGGAGGGATAGGAACAGGATGTATAGGATTTTGTTGTTGTTGTTGTTTTTTGAGTTGGAGTCTCACTCTGTCGCCCAAGCTGGAATTCAGTGGCACTCTCTGCCACCGCAGCCTCGAACTGAAGGACTCAGGTGATCCTTCCGCCTCAGCCTTACAAGTAGCTGGAACTACAGGTGCGCACCACCATACCTGGCTAATTTGACTTATTGTAGAGACCAGCGCTCGCCAAGTTGCTCAGGCTGGTCTCGAACTCCTGGACTCAGGCAATCCATTTGCCTCTGCTTCCCAAAGTGCTGGGATTACAGGCGTGAGCTGGATTTAAATAGTGTTTTCTCATCTCCAATGTAACATTTCAGAGGATACCATAAATACACTGTCCTTCATATTTGCTTATTTGCCATTAAGCTATTCAATTTATGTGGAAAGAAACAATAAACTTTCCTTTTGTGCTTCCTGTGTTCTGTTTCAAAATGTTAAACTACAAGATTATAATTTGGAAAACTGATGTGTCTACATGTGGCTTTCTTTGTATTTATCGTGTGGGTTTGCT